CCGGGCGCGTGTGCGTGTGTGCCCAAGATCCTGAGAGGAGAATGGAGGAGAAGGGATTGCGGCGTGGCCATCCCTCCTGGGGGGGGATTTCTCGCTTTCTATCTCTGTCTCTCTCTCTGTCTGTCTGGCAAGCACACGCGCCCTATAGTGAAAACCTCTCAAAAAAAAAAAAAGAATTTTGGTGAGGATTGTATTAAATCTGTTGATCACTTTGGATAGTATCAACATCTTAACATTATCCAGTTTTCCATTCTATAAGCATAATATGTCTTTCAATTTATTTGCATCTTCTTTAATTTATTTCAACAATACTTAGTAGTTTAAGTATACAAGTCTTTGATCTCCTTTGTTCAATTTATTCCTAAGTTCTTTATCCTTTTTGATATTATTGAAAGTGAAATTATTTTCTTAATTTTGGGGGTTGATTATGTTAGTATATAGAAACACATCAGATTTTTTTGTATGTCGATTTATAATCTGTAACTGTTTAATTTGTTTATTAGTTCTAGCTGTTTAAAATATATTTTTGGTGTAATCCTTTGGGTTTCCTACACATAAGTTCACATTGCTGCAAACAGAAACATTTTTACTTTTTTTTTTCAGTTTGGGTGTCCCTTTTTTTCTTTCTCTTGTTTAGTTGCAGAGGACAGGACTTCTAAAATGAGCTATTTTCCTATTTTTCTATTCCTTTTCCATCATTATATACCATTTTTTATAGTTTCAGTGATGGCATAACTCAATTTTATATCCTCGTGTTTTCATTTGGCACACCATCATCAATTATAGTTTCCACAGAGACCCATAATTATCACTTCGGAAGTCTGCATAATATATCCTTATAGTGAACTTTGGAAATTATCTACACAAGTACAGTTTTGGGAAAATACATACCAGTATCCCCTTTGATATAAGTTATTATGGACATATCAATCAATATTTTAAATATTTTCCAAAATTTGTTTTCATATAACAGTTAGGAATGCATTTGGCTGCAAACAAAAAAAAAAATAGAAAAAAAATCAATCAACAGTGGCTTGAACAGATCAGAGTTTAATTTTCTCACATACCAAAATGTCTAGCAGTAGTCAGGCTGTCCTGGAATGGCAACTGCCCGAGGAAATTATCAAAGACCAAGACCCATTACATCTTCTTACTCTTCCATCCTTAGCAAATGGTTTTCATCTTTATGGTTGTGGGATGGCGATTATACCTCTAGGCATTCAGTTGACTCTTTAAGCATGAAGAAGGAAGACAAGCAAAGGACTAAAGGGACATGTTATCTATCTATCTCAATAAAACACTTCCCCAGAAGCGCTATCAGATTATTTTGGCTTTGATCTCATTGTTGAGAACTGGGTCACATCGTCACACTTCACTTCAGGACACTCTGGGAAAGAGAGCATTTTTTCTTATACATCTACGTAGTCTAGGAAAATGAGGAAGAAAAGGGACATGAGTGGCTTTTAAGTAAAAAGGCAATTGGTGTCTGCCATATGACTTTCATTACTTTTAAGTGAAAAGGAAAGGAAATAGTCTTTGTTATAATTAAATTGTAAACTCTTGTGGGGAAGCTATTGAATTGTATCCTTAGCATTAGCGTAGTGTTCATATCAAAGAAGATCAAGGAATGTTTGTTATATGTTGAAAAAGTTAATATATGATCCCTGAAATTAGGATGACTTAATTAAAAAGTCACATTAGGACTTCCTCATTTTCTTTGATAGAGTTTCTTGTCTGATACTTTAGGGAAATGCAATAGAAGGAATATTGGACAAAGTCCCTCGACTGAACTTTGTGCACAAATAAACATGGATTCCAGGAGTCCATCTTGATGTTTTCATATATTAGGTTGTTGGGAAAATAACAATATTTGCCTGTTTTTCTAAAAAAAAGTATCATGACTTTCCAGATGACCCAATAGATTTTAATAATTATGTACAAGAGTTACTGACTAGTGGAGCATGTGAATGTTTAGTACCAAGAGAACAAGTTCTTCGGTTTTATTTTTTTCTCTGCTGAATTGCTAGTGCCAAGAATAATGTATACTACATGTAGACATTTAGTAACTGTCCATAAAACAAATGACTGTCAGCATGGATCAAAGTTTCTAGGAGTGCATTGCATATTCTGATCCTAGCCTTACTCTTTTCAAGAGAAAAAGTATTAGTGGCTTCATCAAGTGTACTGCAGATCACTTGGTAAGTAACCAAGAGGGATAGTGAGTGCAATGAATGGTAGACTTCAAATTTCAAAGACTCTCGGATGGAGGGGTCGGAACAGAGCAAGAGAAAATTAAATGGAAATACATGTTAATTCTTTAACTGACCTCCATTCTAGCTGCTCAAGCATAGAAACATTAAAATTATACGTGTGGGGACCAGCAGTTAGCGTAATAGCTATGTCGCTGGCCTCCCACATAGTCGACCGCGGTTCGAGTCCCGGACCCGGTGGTTTAAAACTCACGCCGGGCACGTGTGCATGTGTGCCCAAGATCCCGAGAGAAGAATGGAGGAGAAGGGATTGCGGTGTGGCCATCCCCACTGGGGGTTGATTTCTCGCTTTCTATTTCCCTGTCTCTCTCTCTCTGTCTGGTGAGCGCACGCGCCCTATAGCAAAAACCTCTCCAAAAAAAAAAAAAATTATACCTGTGTGTGTGTGTGTGTGTACCAGCAGTTAAAATGAGGAATAATGATGAAAAATTGGAAGACCTTGACAGAACCTGTTGGAGGTAACTGGGTTGCTCAGAAAGTAGTGACACCTCCTTTTCCCGTCATTTCAAAAGAAGCATCACATGAAAGATATAATTGGAGGCTGAATTGCTCATCTAAAAGACCCCTTTTCTTCCAGGGATATAATAACTATTTTCAGTTAAATTGCATTTCAAGACTACCCATGGCAATGAATTCCTATCTGTAGAACATAAACTATTTTTCTTTATATCAATTCAACAAGTTCCCACTGTAGTTGTGCATTTTGTATGGCAATGATTCAAACCTGAGAATCTTCAACTCTGGTTTTAACACATAGTCCTAATGTGGATCCCCTTTTCTCTTATTGGTGGGTAGATTCAGAATCCCAGTACCTTCCCAGCTGGCTCTCTGATTTTTCTTCTGGGCAAATGAATGTTGGGTAAGATTCATTCATTCTCTCACTCATTCATTCAATAAACATTTGCTGTGCACATCCTTCATGCCCAGCATGTTTTTTCCTGAGCACATTTCCCAGGATGGAGCTGGAAGAGCAAAAAAGAGAAACAAATAGGCAACATTTAGACAGTAGAAAGCATCGTGAGGAAAGTAAAACAAAGGTATATGTCTGGTAATGGCTGGAAAAAGCAGTTTAGGGAAGGCCAGGGTGGTTCCTGGGAAGAAGTGGCACCAAGTAAGACCTGAATGATGAGAAAAGGTGGAGTGGCTAGGGCCGAGTTTATGTGCCTTGTTCCTTACATGCTATTTCTTTACTTGCTCTCTGGAGAGCCCTAGCTGCCACTGCCTCATGTCCTATCTCTGCAGCTAACCCAGGTTACTCCTGGTGAGGGCTGGCCTCTGGCACAGCTTCCATTGGGATCTCATGAGTGGGAGACCCAGCAGTTTGGTGCTCTGGCCCTGCCTCTATCCTTGAGGGGTTCTCCCAGCACTTCCTAAAAGGAGTGAGGAATCTCTCTGTGGGGCAGAAGAACTGAGTTGCCTAGCAGTTGCCAGAAAGAGCCAATAACCCAACCTCGAAGTGAGGGTGAATTAATTTCCTAGGGGACAAACTTCACCCGGAGAGAGACAGGGGACAGGAAGATGCTGACAGATAAATTCCTCTACTTCCTATAGACAGAATGTTCTTGGGCCCAATGATATATCCTGTCTAAAGGAAGTTCTGGTGACCAATTAAGCAGATATTTTGTGTGTTTGTGAGACTAGAACCATTTAATTACTCATCACTTTGGATTTATTGTCCCTTCTTTTCTGTCTTAATTATCTTTTCTCTCAATTCTTAAGCCCTGAAGTTACAATTCCCCCTAAAGCCTTGACTTCTATAAACTTTGCCCTAGGATATGTTTTCCAGGGAATGCAGGAAAAAACAAACAAACAAACAAACAAACATTGTGCAAAAATTCAAGGTAGAGTCAAAGTTCTGCAATGTTGCATGAAGGTGCTCAAGTCCAGTGAATTCACAGAGCACTGCAAGGTATTTTGTTTTTGAGGGAAATACAGTGATACTCAACATCTGTCAGACACCATGCACTCTACTAATTCAAGGTAGGTGACAGTTTCAACACTAGGTCATGCTACATTCTTTCAAGGACATCATTAGTTGGTTAAGCTGGGTTTCTGGTAGTTACTCTGGTAAAAAGCAGTGCCACGTGGAAAACACTGTGGACTAGGGAATGAGCCGCTGGTGTCCAATATTACTCCGAGGTTTGAGAAATTGTGTCATGCCCATTACTCTGCCATTAGGAAATAATTGAGGCTACTTAAAAATGAAGTATAGGGACCAGCAGGTGGCATGGTGGTTAAGGGCACTGGACTCCCACATGGCTGACTGTGATTCGAGTTCCAGACCTGGAGACTTGCTTTCTCACTTTGTCATTTTCTTTCTCTCTGTTCCTCTCTGGTCAAATTTAAATAAATAAATAAAGTTAAACAAAATAATTCTTTAAAATAATGAAACATAGACCTTTTTTTCAATTAATATGTTTTATTTTTTCAAATAGCTACTAAAGTTGTGAAGACATAATCACATAATACATTATTAGCACCTCACTACCTCATAAACAGAAGAGTTAGGTTCTTCTTCATATATGTTGGCCTAGAGGTATCAGGAAATGTAATTACTGAGACCTGAAGAGTGGCATGAACCAGAAAGTTCAGGAACCTCTGAGGTAGGGCTTTCCATGCAGTAAAAGGAGCAAGAGTAAAGGTCCAGGGGCAGGACAAGCTGAGAATGCGTGAGAAATAGAACATCAGGAAGAGAAGGTGGAGGATGATAGAAACTGCAGAGGCACTCACAGGAGAGACCTCATAGGCTTTGAAAAGAAACTCAGTTGTCATTTTTGTAGAATTGAACACACATAAGCTCAACTCTGGAAACTTCATTTTCCCTTTAGTGACCGCATTTTCAAAAGCTCTGTTCGCCATAGTCTGTAAATAACCAAGGTCCTCAATGTGTGTGCATGCCATGTGTATTCTTGCTTTATAAAAATATCTTTCTTGAAAATTCATGATTATCACTTTTGAAAATGATAGATGTAAAATATTCTTATCTTTGGCCTTGCAGTCTTATCTAGACTTAAATTTTTTTTCTTCTTTCTTTAAAACTTTATGCTTGCAGTCCTTTTAGTCATATATAGAATTTAGGACTCTCAAGTTTGGTAGTAAAGACTGGGATGGGGCTGACCCTGTGGCCCAATAGTTGAGCTCTGGGTGAGGGAGCCAGGGCCCATGTTGCCCACCGTGGTTCATGTCCTGGTTCCAGCAACACACTGGGTGTTGTATGCCCAGGACTTTGATGGGATTTAGGAGTGAAGGAGAGGGTTGTGGTATGGCTTGCCCACCATCAGGGGTGCTTTTTACCCCTTTCTCTCTTTGTTGCATGCATGTACCCTCTGGCATTGAAATAAAGGACTGGAATGATATTTGCTTTAGACTAAGCTGTAATTAATAATAGAAATATAAATTAAGAAGCCCATCTAGTGATCCATGGTTTGGGGTTCAGTAATGGTCTAGGGTTCATCTGAAGTCTAGGACTAGATTAGTAGATCCAGAAGCTGGGTGTTTAGGGACACCAGAAAATGATCATTTTCTTGTTTATCTACCTATGTTACCCATCATCATACAAAGTGCATGTTTAAACCAGAATATCGGTTTCCTTTTTGTGATTTAAATGCTTCCCCCTCTTTTTTCTTTGAAGTTATTTATTTCATTCATGAGAAAGCAAGGGGGAGAGAGAGAGAGAGCAAGCAAGCATCCCAACAGGGTCTCCACACTGGCACCTTCCCTCAGGCTCAGCCAGCCCTGCATGTTGGGCACATAGCTGCCCAGAATACTTGGCGAGGTCTCTGGGTGTGAATCCAGGACCTTCCCATGTTAATCAGCCTTGCAGAATTGCATTTTACCACTGCAGCACCATCCTGTCCCCATGAAATTTGGCCTTTGGCCCATTTTCCAGGATTCCACATTGTAGTGTCAAGGTGACCACGAAGCCAGGTGAGTTGCAGTGGTACAGTGGTACTGTGCTGCTCCCTGACGCTGGATTTGTATGGAGGATCCAGGTTCGAGGAATTCGTTTGTCTTATGTTGGAATTATCTGAGTTTCTCAGATAGTTCTGTTTTAAGTTAGGGTGCATACGAGATGACCATTCTTTTAAACGCATTTTTCTTTGTTTATCAACCTGTTGATATCATTTTTAAACATGCAGGTATATAGCTGATAGGTTTAGTTAGCTTTCCTGTTTGCCTAGAAGTCATTCTGTGTTACTATGTGTTGATTTAATCAAACTAAACCTCAAGATGCTATCCAGGGCCACTCAGCTCTGAGTGTTACCATCCACTTATATTATATCCCTATTAATCTTCTTTATTTTTTTCTATGAACAGTAGCATGCTAAAAACTGAAGCTTTTTTTTTTACTTAATATTATATTTTTGAGATTGTTTTATATGAATGCATATAATTTTGCCTTATTCTTCTTAATGTCTCTAGAGAATTTAATTGCTTGGATGAATAATAATTCAGATAATTAGTTCTAAAATAACATCTGTTAGTATAGGACTAATGACCTAAATCACCAATTGATGTTGTTTCCAGTCTTAAACATTTCATGTATACTTTCAAGTATATCGGAGGACAAATGTCTAGAAGTGGAAGTGCTAGATTAACTAGATTGTGCATTTCACATACTGATAGATATTTCAGATATCCCATCAGAGTGACTGAACCATTTAAACTAGACCAACAGTTTGAGAATGGGTAGGTTTTTCTACCCTTCCCTAACTAATACCATCTATTATCAAATTGTTTATTCTGAGAAATGGCATCTTGGAGTTTAAAACTGTGTTTCTTGGGAACCAGCAAGTTAGTGTAAGGGCTATGTCGCTGGACTCCCACGTAGTCGACCGCGGTTCGCGTCCCGGACCCGGTGGCTTAAAACTCACACCGGGCGCGTGTGCATGCGTGCCCAAGATCCCGAGAGGAGAATGGAGGAGAAGGGATTGCGGCATGGCCATCTTCCCTGGGGGGTGATTTCTCACTTTCTGTCTCTATGTCTCTGTCTGTCTGGCGAGTGCATGCACCCTATAGTGAAAACCTCTCCAAAAAAACCCAAAAAACTGTTTCTTTTATGACGAGTGAATTTGAACTGACACTTGTATGTTCTCAAACATACACATTGCCTTTCTCAGTCAAAAAAGACTTACTGATAGCCTATGATCTGCACACTTGCACCATGATGTTACACACGTATCACTAGTGGGGGTAAAGGGGTAAACGACAGATAGCCTTCACAGATGTGTGAGGGGTAGACACGTGATAGTTTCAGTGGTCCATGTTTAGTTCAGAGGACAAGAGGGGCCTGTTGGAGGCAGATCCATCAGTCTCCAAGGACAGTCTCAGTGAAGGCTTCTAGCGGGGTGAGACATGTAAACTAAAAGCTGAAGGAGCCATGGCAGTTAGGTGGGTGAATGTTAGGAAGGGAGAAGCAAGGACAAGGAGACAACAGACTCCCCACATTCAAAAATGGAGGAAGGGAGCGCACATGGGGCTTGTTCATAGGACAGTGCAGAGCCACGTTACCATGTCGGTCTGAAGCGGCAGTGGCAGTACACCACCACCCACTACTGTAGCCCTGAAAATCAGCTAAGGAGCTGTTTAAATGATCTAGATACTATTGACACTATGATATAATTGGCAAGTTTTTTTACATTTTTTGCCACAGCACATGTGTGCTCATTGGAGAGAGACAAAGAGAGATCAAAAGAGAGAAAGTGAGAAATCACTGTGGGATGGCCACGCCACAGTCCTGTCTTCTCTATTCTCCTCTCAGGATTTTGGGCATGCACACTCACATGCCTGGTGTGATTTTCTAGCATCCAGGTCTGGGTCTTGAACCATGGTCAGCCATGTGGGAGTCCAGCACCTTAACCACCACACCACCTGCTGGCCCCTAGTTGGAAGGTCTTTAATGAGAGAAGTGACACAGCAGTAGTATCTTGTGTGTGTATGGGAGGGATGTGCTAGGGACTGGACCGGGGAAGGCACGGCTGGTGTGACAGTGGTAAGAAGCTGTTCCAGTAATTCAGTGCTGAGGGTTTGCTTGGTCTCCGGGACATACGGGATCTTGCTGTGGGAGCACCTAACAGGCAAGAGTCCCTTCTGAAGATGGAGTGCACTGCCTCTGGGGAAGCACGAGGACCAACAACCAAGCAGTCTGGTGTGACTTCTGGCTAGGCACGTGCCAGGCCTGAGTGCTATGATGGTGTACAGACGTGGGTGAGTGAAGGGCTTCGCCCAGCCGGGGGCCAGCTGCTTTGTTTTCATTGTTGCCTTTCCTCTCTCCACTCTGGAAACACCCTGACCTTTGTCTCACCATAATGTACAGATGAGGAAAATTACAGAATGTGGAAGTTGGAAGAGGTTTGATGTATGTTGTTCAACCTTCTAATTTTAATATCATGAGAACTAAAAGAAAAACAAACAAACAAACAAGCCACTTGCTCCAGGGCACGTCAGGCCCACCTAAAACCTCACTGCTCTCACCACCACATACAGGCAGGTCCATAGCTCCGTTAGGAACACCTGCCCTTTGATACAGACCGTTCTCATGTTTGCTGACAGCAGAAACCTGGGGCAGAAAACTTCGGAAAAGGATCTGTCTGAAATACTTCGTCGTATATCATTGAAACGGCACAGTTTTTGACAGTCTAAGAAACAAACTAGGGGCGAGGTGGGCAGTTTAATTCTGCAGGGAATGCAAGCTTAAGTTTATTTAAACAATGGAGTCCGAAGTGGCTCGACCTCCCTGGGCGAGCCCCTCTTCTGCTGGTCGCCTGAACGCGGGGGGCAGTCCTGGCGCTCGGGTCCTCAAGGTCCTCACGTCTGTATTCGCTCAGCCTCTCGGCTTCGCGAGGCCCTGTGATCCTATTCAATCGAATTAACAGCTGTTTAGCGAGCGCCTGCTACGCGTAAGGCAGGCACCGGGAGGAGCTGGGCGGGGGCATTCGGGGCGGTTGGGGTCCCAGCCCTCACCCTGATAGAGGAGGCTGGCGCTTACACTTGGCACCTCACCCCCTTCACGTACACTGCGTACGAATAGCGCCAAGGTCCCCCCGACCACACTCCTGCTCCGTCCCCCAGGTTTCCCGCGTCGGGCGGCTTGTGTCTGGCCCCAGCTCCACGCGCCCGAGCACGGCGGGGGAGAGGAGCTGGGCCGGGGACCACGGGGCACCAGGGGACTGGGACGACAGTGGGAGCCCCCGCTGCCCGAGCGGCCGCCCGAATAGGTCACGTCGCCCGAGCTGGCCCCGGGTCACCCCG